TGGGAAACAAGACGGTATACTGCCCAATAACTCATGTTCTGTTTCCTGTGGTACATTATGTCTGTCAGTGTGCAGTTTAGTGTTCGTTTACTGCATGTCTTATCCTTCTGGATCTTTATAGCAATAAAGTTGTATAAGTCTTGAAGAAATAAGTCAGAGCTGCAGTAAACATGAACTAAACAAGACAGACTGATGAAGGTGAGTCACATGATCTTGGAAAAGCTCGAGGCACGTTTATGAAATCACAAACGGAATGACTTCAGGTAGGTGAGAAGGATTCCATGCACTTTAACGAATTCTAGTTAAAAAATAAATGTAAAAAAAAAGTAAATAGAGAAACTTGGGTAAGATATTATAGATTCAAAGTTGCTTGGTCATGGTAGAACCATTATTTTCTAACCCATATTACCTTCAAATTTACTGACATCTTTTATTCTTGGGTTCAATCTGATCCCAGCAATTTAAACCCCCAGAAAATTATCATAAATAAAATTGTTGCCCAAGTTTATGTGTAAATAGCCCTTTAAATAAAACCAAAAAACTGTATATATTCCCTCTTGTTTTTCCTTTAATGATCAGGGGCACTGCTCATGCTGGCTGACCCGACAGTTCTCCCTCCTGTCTCCCCCTGTTATTGGTCATTGTCTTTTTATGTTTCTTGGATGGGATGTAACTGTAAATGCAATTTCTCTGTCAAGGGATCAATAAAGGATTATCTTATCTTATCTTATCTTATCTTATCTTATCTTATCTTATCTTATCTTATCTTATCTTATCTTATCTTATCGTATCTTCAATCACTTATTTAGAGATGTTAAACATTGAGTGGGGTCAAACTGACCCCAAAGATAACAGGAGGGTTAAAAACAAGTACCTTATATATGTATACACACACATATATATACATATATCAGTGGTTAGCACTGTTGCCTCGTGTCCCGGTGAGGACACCCGGGATCTTTCTGCGTGCAGTTTGTTCTGTCAGTGTGCAGTTTACTGCATGTCTTATCCTTCTGGATCTTTAGAGCAATAAAGTTGTATAAGTCTTGAAGAAATAAGTCAGAGCTGCAGTNTCTGTCAGTGTGCAGTTTACTGCATGTCTTATCCTTCTGGATCTTTAGAGCAATAAAGTTGTATAAGTCTTGAAGAAATAAGTCAGAGCTGCAGTAAACATGAACTAAACAAGACAGACTGATGGAGGTGAGTCACATGATCTTGGAAAAGCTCGAGGCACGTTTATAAAATCACAAATGGAATGAATTCAGGTAGGTGAGAAGGATTCCATGCACTTTAACGAATTCTAGTTAAAAAATAAATGTAAAAAAAAAAGTGAATAGAGAAACTTGGGTAAGATATTATAGATTCAGAGTTGCTTGGTCATGATAGAACCATTATTTTCTAACTCATATTACCTTCAAATTTACTGACATCTTTTGTTCTTGGGTTCAATCTGATCCCAGCAATTTAAACCCCCAGAAAATTATCATCAATAAAATTGTTGCCCAAGTTTAGGTGTAAATAGCCCTTTAAATAAAACCAAAAATATATATATTTTCCCTCTTGTTTTTCCTTTTTCCTCTAATGATCAGGGGCACTGCTTATGCTGGCTGACCCGACAGTTCTCCCTCCTGTCTCCCCCTGTTATTGGTTATTGTCTTTTTATGTTTCTTGGGTGGGATGTAACTGTAAATGCAATTTCTCTGTCAAGGGATCAATAAAGGATTATCTGATCTTATCTTATCGTATCGTATCTTATCTTATCTTATCTTATCTTATCGTATCGTATCTTCAATCACTTATTTAGAGATGTTAAACATTGAGTGGGGTCAAACTGACCCCAAAGATAACAGGAGGGTGAAAAACAAGTACCTTATATATGTATACACACATATATATATATACATATATCAGTGGTTGGCACTGTTGCCTCGTGTCCCGGTGAGGACACCCGGGATCTTTCTGCGTGGAGTCTCCATGTTCTCCCCGTGCAGCGTGGGTTCTCTCCAGGTTCTCCGGCTTCCTCCCACAGTCCAAACACACGTTGAGGTTAATTGGTGATTCTAAATTGTCTGTAGGTGTGAATGTGAGTGTGCTTGGTTGTCTGTCTCTAAGTGTAGCCCTGTGATAGACTGGTGACCTGTCCAGGTGAACCTGCCTTCACCCTGAGTCAGCTGGGATAGACTCCAGCCCCCCACGACCCTAGTGAGGACTAAGCGGTGGATAGATGATGGATGGATGGATGGATTTGCTGGTTCAACAATTCCAGTCCTGAATGTCCGACTGAACCATCAACTTTCATTCCAAATGACTGCATCAAGACAGCTTAGCGTAGCAGCTGTATTTTCATGGACATGACGCTGACAATAGCCTGACTCAGCAATTCCTGGTGAAGTCCAGGAATTAGACAAGAGTTGGTGAAATCTGGTAAACAGACGCAGCTGCAGAATGTCATATTGGATTTCATGAACATATTTCGTGAACATTGTTTCCAACACTTTGCAAGAGCTTGTAGAAGTCTTTTACTTGATGCCCAGACTCTCAAAAAACAAATAAATAAATCAACTAATTACACAATACTATGACGAGATATCATATTCTGAGTATTTATTTCTGACTGAAATATTTGTTTTGACATGGTTATTGGCCTGCTTATAACTTTTAATGATGCTGCTGACAGAATACGCCGACTTCACATTAGTTTAATTGTGTAAGAAACCTCTTCAGGTCAAGCATGCCTGTCAAAAAGCAATTTTTGGGTGATTTGGCAATTTAATTTGACATATTCATGCAGTCAGAGAAGCAAAAATAAATATTTTTTCCCCTCCAAAGTAGCAGCTCAGCCTAAAAACCTCAAATAATGTGTTGCTCGGACAACTCCAACCGGGCCTTGAGCACGTCCCCCAAGGTGGTGTTCATAAGGGGAGTCTTGTCGTCCGTCTGACAAGCCTGTGGCAGTGAATCAGACAGGAAAGGTTGGGAACCACAGGTTTACAGCATGCAGTTTGCTGAGTAACTGCTTCTCTACAGTCTCACTATTATGTAACAGGTTTTGCTTCTCATGTAAGAGTTCTGGGGGACAGATTTCATAAGACGGCGTATTGTAAAAGTTAGTGAAACATCAACAGTAGATAAGACACACGTTACGCTGTCTGCAAAAGCCTCATTTAACCCTTTTCTCACTCGATATACAAGGTTTGTTTTAGTGTTATGTTACTAAAAAAATATATAATTATGTAGTATTTTGCAAGTTCGCTGAAGCTTTTGCTTTTTCTGATGAACACATGCTGAGTTGAACTCGGGGCTTCAGGCCAAAGCATGAAGACGTTCTGCACATGTTATTCTGTGACAGGCACCAGGTGACATATCTGGTTCAATCATAAAAGCAGCTCCTTCTAACAAAAAGGATGCATCAATTTAAGCGCCGTCTAATCCTTTCCCGAAGCACACGGCCCTGGGTTTAAACATTAATAGACGCATTGTTTAAAGGTCATCCTCTGGCAGCATCTTCAAAGTGGAAGTCAGCTCCCTGAACATGGCCGATTTTGGAGAGATTCTCCGCAGTATCGGAGATTTTGGACTTTTCCAGAAGGTCACCCTGTTTGCTCTTTGCTTCCCAAACTTTATTCTGCCTTTTCACTTTGCCAGCGTGTATTTCATCGAGTCGGATCCAGAGCGACACTGTAACACAGACTGGATCCTCAGCGCTGGTCCCAACCTGACCACAGAGGAGCAGCTGAACCTGACTCTGCCCCGCGAGGAGGATGGCAGCTTCAGCAGGTGTCGGATGTTCGTCCCGGTCGACTGGGACATCGATGCCATCAGGGGATATGGACTCAATGAGACCACCAGGTGCCTGAATGGATGGGTGTATGGAAACATGATCTACAAAGCCACCATAGTCACTGATGTAAGGGATCAGTCTGCCTTTTGGTCATTTATGATGCAAATATTAAATGATGTCATTTTTGTTGACAGTTTGGACCATTTGTTTTACAGTTTGATTTGGTTTGTGAGCGAGCAAATTTTTTGGAAGTGGCACAAACGGTGTTCATGGCTGGTATCCTTCTTGGATGTCTCTTATTTGGACCGTTTGCTGAATCGTAAGTGATAATACAGAATATGTTCTTCATCCTATACTGACTTAAGGCTCACTCCGTCTCTAATCATGTGAATTTTAGAACAATTTTGGAATTATTAAGGCATAAAATGTTGATATTGATAAAGACGTTTGTGCTGTGTTTGAATGGCAATATCTCAAGAACCGTTCGAGATAAAAGACTGAAATTTTGTGCAAATGATTCAGAATCTGTAATAGTTGGCAAATAGGTCAAACAATGTCTGATTTTACAAAGCAGATGTCGAGTCGTGGTATTTTCTGAACCATATGTAGCTGCATGTCACAGTAATACAAAACAAATACAATAGAATACCTGTTAATATGAAATTATTTTCACTGAACTTTGATTACTGATTGAGCAGGTATGACAATCTGTGCCACAACAATCATTGCAAGATAGCACGATCCAACTGAGTTCTGGAGTTTCATTGTGCTTCTCAAAATATAACTCATTTACAGACCTCAGTGTGGAGGCCTGGACCTTGGTTTGGAGAGGGAAGACGTTTGTGTAACGTCATTGGGGTTTATCACAGTGTTAGGATGAAAAAAAAAAAAAAAGCAGAGCCAGACACATAGACCTGCTGGGACAGTGGGAAGTTTATGTGCCATGACATAAAATGTAATGGCAGTTTGATGCTCTTATGTAAGACTTTAGTGGTAGATTCATTCTCATGATCATTGTGGATTCCCTTGCTTTGTGTTCCACTGGGAATAAACTTGGCCTTCAAGACCAAAGACAGTTAAAGTGCGAGTACGTGGAAATTTATAGTCAAACTTATTGGAAGTATCTTTTCCAATCTGTATATGAATTAGATAATAGATTTAATAGGTAAGCTAGCAGTTCACTCTGTTTCTCCAGCCTACAAAGTGAGGTTGAAAACATGCACATATCAATCAATCAATCAATCAATCAATCAATCAATCAATCAATCAATCAATTAATCAGTCAATATTAGTTGTATTTGGAGAAGCATTTTGAAACTCCATAGCTCTATTCCCCAACTCGTCATATCTGCTAAATCAGTTCTGAAAATTTAAGTAAAACATTTTTTTGCATTTCTGTGGCCAACTATTTCACATTTAAAAGTATCACATATGTTTTTTATTCTTATTATTATTGTGGCATGCAACTACATATGGTTGAGAAATTATTCTTAGCTAACTCCTGACTTTTCACTTCTTTTGTTCATGTGTGCTCAAAGATTGGACTTTTCGTGACAGCTTAAATTTTTCTTCACTTTCAGCTAACCTATATTCAAGGATTATTTGACCTATTAACCCAATGTTGGAGGTTTTGCATTAATTGCAGTAATAGTTTGCGAGATATCGCTGTTCAAACATGGCCTCAAATTTCGATGTTTGAAAAAATGTGCTGAAAGTGGGTCATCGGGCAATTAAAAAAAAATAAAAATCACATAAAGCCAACTTTAGTAAAGGTTTTGTGCACGTCATAATGACTTTTTATTCTCTGTTTTTTAGGTTCATCTAATAAAAAAAATGTTTTAAAAGATTTTTATTGGTATAATTTTTGCCAGAGTCTCATCTTTTCGGTACAACTATCAGTTTGTTATTTATCCAGGGGCGTCCCATCTTACTCCAAGTGTCTCATCTGTTCCAGGTTTGGTCGTAAACGAGCGTCTCAGATACCAGTCGTTCTGATGGTCGTGTTTTGTGTCACAACTGGACTGTGTCCCGACTTCTACACATATTTGGCTTCCCAGTTCATGGCAGGACTTGGCTATGGAGGTTTTCGACTTAACGGCATTATACTGGGTATAGTACTCCATTACCTTCCTTTTTCTGGTCAGTTTATGTTGAGCCACGTAGTTAATTGCTAATTTCTAATGAAACTCACCAACTATCATCTTCATATGACTACAACGGTAGATAAATTGAGTCCATAAAACACGTTTTTATACTTCCAACACTGATATTCTTGACTGAACGCCAAAAACTGACAAAATGTAGTAACAGGTTAACTGATAGGTCAAACACTGCAGAAAGAACAAATTATATTTTAGCTATATCAAAAAGTGGGAGCATAAAATACCCGTAGCTACCAGTGTATTAGGTAAACCTAGTTAAAAATACTACAGTTTGATATATCAGCCTTCAGCAGCTTCAGGTTCATTTGTGATTATTTTGAATGTGGATAACTTTCTTGCGCTGATGCATTTTTGCAAACTCAAACAGTTGCTAAACTTTTTATCCAACTGACATTAACTAGTGTCCTGTTTAGAACATCCACTTCCCCACTGTAGACCTTACCTATACAGTAGTCTGACCTACTGGATGTAGACTTTGGGTTTAATCCTGCCCTATCTGGCTCTGATTTCGCACAGCTTTCTCCTCCTTCTGCTGTCTCAAAATCCCCTTTAATACTGGAAACAACAACCTCCAGGCATCAACCTACACCCTGAAAATGCCAAGTTTTGCCAAAGATTTCGATGCAGCTGTGCTTGATTGCTTGAGTGAATTACCCATTTTAAAGACAGTACTCATCTCCCTGCGCGAAGTGTTTCACCAAAACAATTTGCATCATGGTTTTCGGAAGCACCATCGCTCCATCCTTGGCCTAGCACTGTCAAAGATGATTGTGATTGTATTTGGAAGGAAAAAAACAACAGCAAATCAAAGCTGCAAGCAGCGATGGTCGGCCATTAACACTGAGTTTCGGTTTCAATTGGTTCCTTAAGGATGCAAGTATATGGAACTCCCAACTCGTCAGTCAGAACTGATGAAGCCTCTTGGATGAGAGGTGGAACGTCTTCAAGAAATGGCCTTAATGAGTTTTCTGTGAAGTGAACTTTACATAGCAGGCGGACAGTCCAAAGACAGTCGATGTGAAGCCTTGTTTTAAAAGGACACTGTGAAAATCGACCTTTGACTCAACAAATTAGTCTTTTTTAGCAACAATTTTATCAAACGATTAAGGGGTTAAAACATTTTTTTCTTTAAGTGAAGGAGAAGTTTAAAGCTAGTGGACCTCTTTTAACATTCATTGATGTTTTGTGAGTTCCAGGGCTTTGTAAGGGTTAACCAGCAACAGAAATGTTACTGAACCTAAAGCTAACTCTTGAAATCCTGCTTCTAGCCACTGAATGGATCGGAGTGTCCAAACGATCGTGGGGAGCATGTCTGTCTCAACTGTTTGCGGCGGTCGGACAGGTCGTCCTGGCTGGTATGATCTACCTCGTCAGAGACTGGAGACTGGCTCAGTTTCTGACAGCATCTTTGCTAGCAGTGGTGGCTATTTACATATGGTGTGTGTTAACACTTTATATCACCCCGTCCTGATTCACTGGAAAGTAACTGATTACTGAGACGTGTGGGTGACCTGCTTTGGACAGGTTTATTCCGGAGTCGGCCAGGTGGTTGCTGGACAGAGACAGGATAGACGAGGCCAAACAGCTGATCACCAGAGTGGCAACCATCAACAAACGCACTGTTCCAGACTCTCTGCTGGTAAAGGTATCACATGGTGTTTTTTTTTTTGCCTTTGTACAAGACTTGAAAGAAAAACTACAGAGAGTGATAACAGTAAACACATGATGTATATCAATGATGAAAAACTCTTACAAGAAAATGTCCGCAGTATCAACATGTAGCCTAATACGGATTCGAAAGTTGTGTTGGATTGCAATAAACTGGGCGACAATCAGCTGGACTGTACTTTAGTTAAAGGATTTAAACTGTTCAAGGCTGTTGGATTACATGGTTTGCTAACACGAGCAAATGTTAGCATGATGTTGTGTCCACTCCTGTACATTACAGATTGTTGAGAAAGAAACTAAGAAAAAGGGAGGCGTGATAATTCTTATCCAATCACCTGTGCTTAGGAAGTATTTCTTTACCATAATTTTGGCATGGTAAGTTACCTTTTGTGATACTAAATGATGTACTAAATGTGATGCTAAAGGAATATTAAATTCTTGCTGTTGTGTGCGTTTGCGTGACCGTTCCTTGTTTCTCCAGGTTCTCGCTGAATGTTACCTACTACTGCCTGTCATTCAACGTGGGGAAGCTCGGACTGGACGTCTTCCTGACGCAGACCATCTTTGGCCTGACTGAACTACCGGCTCATATTATGAGCATCTGGCTGTTAGAAGCAGTGGGGAGGAAAGTGTCGCTCATGGCGACGCTCCTGACCGGAGGATTGATGTGCATCTTAATCTTAGCTGTTCCTCAGGGTAAAACGCTTCAGATGGTGTTTCTCTGGTGTTTTTTCTCGGGGAGGGCCTCATTACGTGTGATTTGTGGCCACTGAAACTGCAATTATGTCTCTTTGCCCATTCATTTAAATAGAGACATGATCTTGTTAGCTCTTAATAACTACCCAGGGACCTTGTCAAGATGGCTACCAAATGGCAAGACTTTCCGAATTTGGTTTAATCCCTTGGAAGACCAATGTTGAAACACCTGCTGTCATAGCGAGTTTTGAGATGCAATAATAATCTAAACCTGGGTAACAGTGTTGGACAGCCTCCTTTCACAGCTATTTGTGGTGTTTTTACTCATTTGTACACACAAACATTATTAAGAAACATCAAGACTGGGAAAGAAAGAGCTGTATGGCCAAACTCCAACCATAAATACTTTATTTTTTAGAAATTACCCCCCCCCCCCTTTTTTTTCCTTTCCTCTGTAGGTTTTCATTCTTTCGTCTGTGTTTTTTTTTTTATTCTAATTTTTCTGACCTTTTGTTATTTTGTGTTCAGGTAATGCTGTTGCTGTCACCGCATTGGCAACCGCAGGGCGTTTCTTCACCAACTGGGCAGGATCTGTATGCAACGTTTATGTTCAGGAGCTGTTTCCAACATCATTTCGGTGAGCTGAGTCTCTCCAATTCACTGTAGTCAAGGATAGAAATCACAACTGGCGAAACGATGTTACCGATGTCGATATTCAATTTTTGTTCACACCAAAAATGAGTATAAGTAAGCACTGTGAGAACATGAAAACTGTTCAAAAGAAGCCCAAATTAGACCACATAATCTTCTTTATTATTTAACAAAAGTAAAACATATTTAAACATATTTAAGTCCAGGACCATTTAGGTAAAAACATCTGTGAAATAGCAGCAACATCAAATGTAGAGACAAAGGCGCTGATGTTGGTTGTCGGTTTTTCACGTCGGCAACATTTGTTCATCGGACCGATACCGATATATCGGAAAAAAACACTAATATCGGTATCGGTACCGATGTGGTTGCTGGTACATCGTGCATCCCTACTTATAATGTATTAAGTTCAGTCATTTAGTCAAAAACTTCTGCCAGTTGGCGCGGACATTAAAGAAATGCTCGGTTGTGTGTTTCTGTTTCAGACAAACAGCCTCCGGTTTGGGCTCTATCGCCAGCCGAGCCGGCGGGCTGCTGTCTCCGCTGCTCAACATGCTGGCCATGTACCACTGGACCATTCCCATCATCGTCTACAGCACCCTGACGCTGGTCAGCGGAGCACTCGGCTTCCTGCTCCCTGAGACCAGAAGAAAAGAGCTCCCGGATTCAACCGACGAGGCCGAAAGCAACAGGTTAATGGGCTGAAAGCAACGTCACTTGGCAGTGAAGTGGGCAATATAACAACCTGGGAAGCTTTCTTATTGCCTGTGTAAATTATACAGGCCCGTTTACTTTTTATGCTTCCGAGGTTAACACGAGGTTGACGGTTGTTATCTGGGTCAGCACATATTTGCCTTTTTTCAGTCTCACTAAAGGATATGTGATTGTATTGTATAATGAGCAAGCGTCTCAAAGTGTGAACTGACCCAGAGGGATGTTTAAGTTGTTAAAATTTAGCGTTTTTGTTATCAAAAGGAACTGTATGTCCTGATTTTATTTTTTGAAAAAGTTGTCACATGTTGGCTGCTTCTAACTGGTTTACAAAGAACTCCAGTAGAACAAACTCAACATGGAGCAGACACCTCAGTCTGTTAAGGTTTACTTATTCAGTTGTATTCTTTTTTTTTGTTATTATTATTATAACATCAACCCAAATTATAATGTCGCTTTAAAAGCAAAGGAAATATGCACAGAAAAATGTCCGCATTAGGAATG